CTTGGTTGAAATTCAAAAAGTTCAAGGGCTATGAAATCTCTCTCGTATATATCCTAGTCCCTTAATACTCACTTTTTAAATTCACATTTAACCAGTGTTATTGTTTTTTGTGTATCCTTTTAGAGATATGTAAACATATGTAATCAACATATTTATTTTTGCTCATGTATTGATTTATGTTTTTACCCTGTGAGCATTGTATTTTGGAATTTCTAAAAAATGCCAAATTACATTAAAAAATATACAATGTATAGCCTTACTCAGATATGAGGTATTTCTGTAATTTTTTTGAAACATTGAGGTTAGTTCAAGAACTAACATCCCCTGTATCTCCCTGCAAATTTGTGAAGCAGAATTACCTGCAAGGCTCTGGAAGGTTCCATGGTTATGAGTCAAGGCCTGATTTTCCTCCCTGGCCTTCCTGGGCACGCCCTGTTTCCAAGGCCAGTACTGTTTTCATGTCCACACAGTCATGTTTTCTTGTTCTTCTGAGGAACTCTCATTTGGACATGTTGGGCTCAGAGTAGATTCCTTTGTGTCTCCTTTCATTATTTCCTCCTTGTACTCTACCTGGTTTTGCTTCTAAATTTCCATTTTCTGTGAGTTCTTATATTTGTATTTATACTTGGTTTTATGTAATTTGATGTTTTTTGATCTTAGTTGAGTGTATAGTTTCAATAATAATGTAGTTTCAATAATAATTTGCTCTTTTAAATTTTACTTTTGTTGAGTCAGTAAAAGGTAGTGATTGAGAGTATGGGCTGTAAAGCTAGGTTGCCTGGGTTTGAGGCCTAAGAACGTGGCCTTAGGCAAGTTACGTGACTTCTTTCTGCCTTCGGTTTCTTAACTTTGTTAGGTGGGAAGTAACAATATTTTCTACTTAAGAGATGTGATCATTAAATTATGTTAGATAGTTGCAGATAGCTCATCAATGTTAGCTATTTGTATTTCTGTGATATAGTTGTGATTATGTTTGATTTTATAGGGTACAATTTAGTATTTTTGACATTATAATTTTGAGATTTAGGGAACCTTATAAGTCTTGATTCCAGGACAAAATGTGAGGGTGACTTGAGAGAAAAAAAAAATCAATTCTCTTTTTTTCCTTTCCTTGTTAGTTGAGAATAGTGTGTACATATTTTTTTTATGTTCTTTTTGTGTGTGTAGAGCATCACTGTTCAATAGAATTATAATGCAATAATTTAAAATTTTCTAATGGCCACATTAAGTAAAAAGAAATATGTTTGATTAATTTTGCTAATATACTTTATTTAACCCAATATGTCAAAATTATTGTCATTTCAACATGTAATCAGTATAAAATTATTGAGATATTTTAGAGTCTTATGTTTAAATCTGCTGTGTATATTATACTTATAGCTCATCTCAGTTTGGACTAGCCACATTGCAAGCGCCCAATAAGCTCATGTGACTAGTGGTCACAGTATTGGACAGCACAGTTATATAGTATAACTACTTTTAAATTTGTCCGTTTAAGTTAGGGAGGGGTTTTTATATTTTTCAGCAATTGATAAAGCTAGCTGCATCTCATCATAGGCAGAGAGAAATTACAAGTTTGTGTTATGAAAAGAGAGGTAGGGGAAAGGTTTGGGTTTGGGAATGATCAGTGAATATATAAATGGTAATTGAACTCTTGAAGTCGGGGACAGAATGAAATCATAATATCTCTAAGGATAAAACCCTAGGGAATTCCTAGAAAAGAAGCCGGGGCAAAATAGTGAAAACCCGTAGGCCAGAGGACCGTCGCAAGGCGGTCATGCCCTGAAAAGCAATGGAAGGGAATTTCACAAGGCTGGTGGGTGGGATGCCAGATGCCACATTCTAGCAGTGTGAGGAATGAAAACAGCCAATTCCTTGTTTTTTGCCAACAATGGCTGTTTCAGTGGAGTGATGACTAAGGAAGCCAGGTTGTGGTGGCTGAGCACTGAATGAAAGCTGAGGTGAAGACAGTGAGCCTATATGATTGCCTTATGAAGCTCGACAGGCATAGCTGGTAGAGTTGACAGAAGTGTGCTAACGATGAAGGAGAGGCAGCCAGTGGACAGGAAGGACTGAAGGTGGAGAAGAGGAGGAGCCTGATGAAGTGAGTGTTTAGAAAGGGCATGGTGATAGGGCGGAGTGTACACTAGAGGGGGGAGTGATGGAACAGAAGGGGGCCGCTGTGAAATAGAAGGGAAGGTGTTTGTTGTGAGAGGGGAGAATTCGCGTGTGACAGAGTGGTTCTCACACAGCTAGCCCGTGTGAGCAAAAGGGAGATGCCCCACACTGCTTAATTTCGGGAAGCACCGAGGATCCAAACCTGACCGTTCATGAGCTAAGAACAACACGAGTGAAGAGAAACACCCAGTTTTACTATTCTAGTAGAAAAATCCAGCGTCACGTGCTACTTGGAACCTAAGATACTAGGGATCACTCAGTAAGATTATCTCTTTGTCAGAAGGACAAACTGTCTGACCAAGGTTCGATCTCATTGCATAGGTGGTTACCACCTTGGTTTGCTCACTTCTTTCCAAGCGCTGTGTGTATTTGTCTGGTTCGTTGAATCTGAGTCCCCCGTAGAGGGCTGGCCTGATGCAGGTGCATTGGCAAATGTAGTTTTAGCTTTCGAGGCTCTGTAATACAGGGAGCTAGGTGTGCGTGCTAGAAACGGTCCTGGCTCTTGATCTCTTTCATGAGTCACAGTCAAGGTGTTACCCAGGGCAATAGTCACCTGAATATTTGAGCAGCCTAGATGATCTGTTTTAAAAAATGGCTCACGTATAATGCTGTTAAGTTGATTCTGGCTATTTTGCAAGAGGTCTCATGGACCACTAACAGCGGGCTTCACCCGGAACGAGCGAGGGGTAGGTGCAGCATCTTTTAGGACCCGGCCTCAGAAGTCAGACAGCATTACTTCCACCGCGTTGTTTTTCATTCAGACCCGCCCTGATACAGTGAGAGAGGGGACTACACAGAGGCATGAATTCCACGAGGTGAGGATTTGGGGGACCTCTTGGAGGCTGGTTACCATGCCTCCCCCCTCTCCCCACTTTTCTTTGATAGCAGAAATTGATCCGATTTGTCTGTAGAAGCAAAAAACAACATTCTTTCAATAGAATGGAATTAGCCAAGAATTTGGATCAAATGTGGTCCTTTGTTAACTATTAAGGGTACAAAGTGCCCTCAGCCAGTTTTTTAAAAGATTCAGAAATGCTGTTCTGTTACTTGTTCTCAGGTTTCTCTTCCAAAGGCAGAGCATGTATCATAAAATCATGACTCAGTCTAGGCATGTGTATTTTGATGTTTGGAGATAATGAGGTTGCGATACTTTGTCCTCCAGACTAGCTTTCCTGTCCCCATCTCTGCCACGAACAGGTCTGACTAGCTCTCCCTGTGGTACTTTCTAAGATCCTGACCACCTTTGAGAATTGGAGTGAGCATCACTGTGACGTGCTAGATAGATGTAGGCCAGTCTCCCATGCCTGGGTCACATCATCTTGTTTTCTTGTTTCATCTCATGAATCACACTTGAAATGATACTGCTGATATACCAATCTCCCTGCATCCGCTCTCCCCTCTCCAAAATTAAGCCCCAGTGGGGCAAACTGTGTCTTGTTCTCTGCTGAATTCTCAGCACCTACTGCAGTGCCTGGGAGCTGCTCAGGAGGTTAACTATTCTTTGAGAGAATATACTACATGGTCATTATTTCAAAGAAGCCATCTCTGAAGTCCCCCCTCTCCCCAGCTTGATTTATGTCTTCCTAGCCTTTCTTTCTCCCTTAACCTTTTTTTTTTTTAGGTGACATTCAGGACCCTCCCTGTTGCTGTGACTGCTTTCCTGTCTTATTCAGAGTTGGTGCCTGGAAGGTTCTCTGACCTGGTTTCTTTCTAATATAGGTTATTCTGAGCCTGTGATTACTGTTTGAAATAATTCTTTTAAAAGATGTGTTGGGTCATCCTGTGATTTGGTGCTATGTAAACTGTTTGGGAGCCACACTTCTTTTGGCTTTGCTGGCTCCTCCTTTTTGCTTGTCATAAAGGATCCTTTTGGATGAGTTACTATGTCAGTTTTGACCTTGTTTGTATCCGTATACCCAAGGATCCTGACTTTTATATATACAGAACAGGAATGTCACAATATCCACCCCTGGGTATATGGTAACATCTTTTCTCTTTACTGTGCGTGGTTTTCAGAGAACACAGGGCTGTGTAAGTTAAGTAACAGTGGAAAGCGGATGGAATGCGCTCCCAGAAAGTACTGTTCTTAAGGTATTTACCCCAGATCTACAAGTGCCTATGTACCCCCTCTGTTGCCCTGGGGTGCAAACCCCAATCCTGGGCTGATTATCTATGTGCACCCCAGCCTGCCTCTGAGATTTTAGACCATCCTCATCAAAGGTTCTTGACAGTTGTTTGGATTATGGACCTTTTTGCAAATCTGACAAACTGTTGACCTTCTCTACAGAGAGATAGATATCCATTCACATAAACCCACACATTTTACATGTATCGTTCAGGACTGTATAGGCTTCTGAAGGCCGCCCATGTACCACGGCTAAGGACCTCTAATATGAATTATTATTATTTTTTTTACATTATAATTGATTTGGGAAATCCTTGGAAAGACAGAAAAAAGCTCTTATTAGTTAAGACTCAGAACATTTCTGTTTTGGAGGGTTCTTCTTCCATCTTGGGATATCCAAGAATCAGGCTGCTAGGCCATTCAGATAAAGTCTTGTCCTGGTCAGGATTCAGAATTCAGGCTGGGGCTCGGCCGGGTGTGGCTCAGTGGTTCAGCATCGACCTGGGATCCAGGCAATCGGGGTTTGATTCCCGGTCAGGGCACATGCCCGGGTGTGGGCCCGATCAATGACTCTCTCATCATTGATGTTTCTGTCTCTCTCTCCCTCTCCTTTCCTCTCTCTGAAATCAATAAAGATATATTTAAAAAAAACACAAAAAACAATTCAGGCTGGGTTTATTTGGAAGATAACAGCTTAACCATGCCCTTCGTGATCTCACAGGTACCCCTGCATTGGTCAGATTGGACATATGTAAAGAGAGACATCGGTATATCTGGATCATCAGGTAAGCAACGGTGCTTCATTTTTATTTCTCCATCAGTTCGGTCCTCTGGCAGTATGTGCTTTTCCCCATCAGCTACGCTTTACTGCAGTGGGAGTCAGTCAGATGATAAATATTTCTAAGGAGAAGGAAGCAGCCTTTCTTAAGTTGTACCAGATTACCTCCTGTGCCGCTTGAAGTCAAGTTTCTTTATTTTTACTTTACCTCATTATTATTTCATATATTCACACTTCTATTGTAGATAAAAATTCCCAGCTCTTCTTTTTATGTATATACTTTGGAGAGTTGTGGACAGCTCTCATATTGTTCCTTGGTTGTCAGCCAAGTTACACACATTTAACGCCTTTCATCTTTCTTTGTCATTCAGCCGCTTGGCTGCTTTTTCTCGATTTCCCCCCATTTCATCCGCATCATTAGTAAACAGAAGAAAGCAGGCCATGGGCGAGCTTCCTCTGCGCCTCCCATCCTTCTTGCCCCTGGTTTTGCCTCATTCCTCGTGGAACTAAAGGCAGCCGGCCAGCCAGCGTCCCTGGCCCGCGTTGGCGGTGCGTGCATGCCTTGCCTGCACCCGCGGGCGTCCACGTGGTCACAGCATCAGCAGCATGTCCCCGAGGAAAGATCGGAATTGGAGAACTGCGAGGAGCGACATAGTGCGTTCTCTGATTATGTCAGACTTCCCCTTGCCACCCAGAGGAAGTCACTGTACCTGAGTGTTGTCAGGGGCACTCATTTGCATAATAACAGAAGCATGGATATTGTTTGAAGTTTGGCCACTGTTCTCACTTGTTTTCTCCCCCAGGCTCTGCCTCCCCCATCGCCTTTCCCAACCACATTTGTGACTTGCCGTCAGAATCCGTGGCCGTGAACAAAACTGGGCAGGGGCCCATTCTGTCAGAGATTACATAGGCTCAGGTGGTAAATGCTCACGGCCTCCACGTGGAACATCTGAGAAGACAAGTGCCGTCGTTCTTGCTATTTCTGGAACCAGCTGTTGGTCTTCTTGTAACAGCTGATTCAGTGGAGATGTGCAGGAGGAAGGGACTCGTAGACCTTTGGTGCTTTTCATCAACACTGCATTAGTTTCACAACTTTCCCCCCCGACTGGCAGGGAGAGAGGCATATGCTTCTAGATGATACTGAGCTTAGTGTAAAGTGTGCCAGCATGGGGTCCGGGCTTGTCGCAGTGCATTCTGCCTTTGCATTTGGTTTGTAGAAAATGGACCTCTACCTCTACTTATCTTGTGCGTTAGAGAGAAAAAGGCCATCCCGCCAGGAGCTCACGGCTTATTGGTGTTTTCGTGACCGGATTCGGGGAGTACATTGAGTTGAAGTTTGCAGCATCGCACACTTGGCATCCTCACTTGTGTTCGCTTTGTTTGTCGTACAGAATTGAGTAGGATAGAAGAGACGGTTTTCCTGTTTGTGTCTGTGGCAACTTCGTAGATGATTTGTGGTTTAATCCTTTAAACATTTCTGATCGTTTATCACCTCTTTCCCTGTAAAGGCATAAAATATTCAGATTCTAATGTTATAATCTTTTCATCAGATTATTTAATTTTGGAGAAATCAAGGTCAGAATAGCAGCTGACATAGTTGTTTCTGAAGAGTGACCTAAAAATTATAACGCTTACATTAGTTCCTTTTTGCCAGATTGTATGGCTTTCCTTTATACTATTAGAATTTAAATAAGATTATGTGATTATGAGTCATGTATTTCTTGGTCTCTGGCCTCTTAAACAGGTACGTATATATGACTTAGACTCCTTTTAAGTCTGATTTTTTCCAAATGTTAATCTCTCACATGGCTTTTAAACTGTCGACAATAATGCACTCACGCTAATTTCTTTAAGCTATTGATCCATTCTTCAGCATAACTTTTGTTTCTTGGGTCTTTTCAAGACTTGTCAAGGAAAACCAAATGCTAACCTGACTTTAAAGGGGCAGAAAATCCCCCTCACCCCTGCATATTATTCTTTGTTCTCTAAGTGCATCAAAGTGACAATCCCACCCTGTCTCAATTGAGGGAGTCTAGCACAAAAATAAAAAACAGCCTGGCACTGTTCTAGGATGGCAGCCAAGCGTTTTGTGTAGCTTGGTTCTGGCGGTGGTTTCAGAAGCCAGAGGGTCTACCCTCCCAGCATCATCAGAGGAAGGCATGCAGCCTCCGTCTTTCCTGTTCTTACATTTCTTTTCCCTTGTCTTCCCCTTTCTTTACAAAGACCACCATTATGAAAACAATATTTTTTTCTTAAATAGGAACATCATTCTACTCACAATTTTCACATTTAGTGAGTGGCATTGTTCCTTATAGAAGCCTGTGCTAAATCTGCCTTTTCCAGCTCTCTTAGAGATTTCCCTCACAGTTGCATTTTTGCCACACTTTTCAGAAAACCCTTCTGAATATTGCTAACTTTGGTCATTCTGACACAGTAATTTTGACTGGTTGGAATCTTGTCTTGCTCCACAGCTTGATATTTGAACAGAAACTCTTGAATGATATTTGCTTATATTGTATGGATTTTTTATGCCAAGCTCTCTCTTGTTGAGACCAGAAAGTCTGCCATTGTTTTCTATTTTTGTTTAAAATTCAGGGTAGTTCATATCTTTTACAAATTGAATACTCATCAGTTTGATAACTGTTGCTAGATAACCAGATGAATTTCCATTAAATATAAGGAGGTGCCTTAAAATTGTTTCTTGAAATCAGAATGCAAGATAAAACAGAAGTGTTTTTGTCTTTCCCAACACTCTCTAAATTATAGTTAGTGACCTGCTATTACAAGGTGTGTGAAAATGTAGCATTATGATTTTTAGGTGATAATTTGAGCAGACTCAATTTTCACTATGAGTAAGCATTCTATGAAATTTCATAGAATGTTCCTCTAAATGTAAATGTTTTCTGTTGTATTAAGCAAAACCAAATGATTTATTTTCAGGTGACCTATTTTAAAAATTAGTGTTTTGCAATCAAGATAAGATAATTAAAAAGGCAGAGTATGTTTTCTTAGGAGGAGAGTGATATTATTTTCACTGATTTATATTTTTAAAAATTGTCAGTTAGTGATTTTTGGCAATAAGAAATTACTTTGGGAGGAAAAACTCATGTATTTTTGTAACAGTGCAACAAATGTGACTGAAAAGAAAGTAAACAGTACTTCGTGTTAGAATTATTAATGTAAAACATTTTTATATGCCATATATACTGGGAAATACAATATTTATATAGTGCATGAACACAAACTTGTGCAGCTTAACAGTTGTTTTTCCAGAGATTTATTTTTAATTTAGAAAATGCTTTAAAATCATTCAAAGGTTTTCTAAAACAGGTATATCAGAAGTATGCATTAAATAAACTCACCTGTTATTTTCTCTCATTCTCAACACAGATTCAGCAACATATTGGCTCATTACTTTCACAAAACAAACAAATACTCAAATTGCTTTGTATATGATGCACCTGTATTAAATGCTATGCTTCTCCATTCCCCAGTGCTGTTTTGCTAACTTATATTTAAGTGGCTTTTTCTGTAGAGCATCTGAAATGAATCTGGGAGAGATGCCCTTAAGTTATATCAATTAAATCTTTAGGTCAACATTTTAAGTTCCAGAATTATGACATTTTTCAGAAGGAATGCCAGTGAAACTTTCTTTTCTTTTTTTCTCTTGAGGCGGTTAAGTGCGTGACTCCCTGTCTTGAATCCTCTGTTCCAAGGTCTGATAATCTTAGTATTGGTGGTTAAAGATAACATGGACCAAAAACTCTTTCATTCTTTATGTTTACATAAGTAGAATAATGCTTATTGTATACTATTTATTGACCTTAACTACATTTTCTCCAGTGGTATAATTTTTATTTGCAGTTAGGCCCTTTATCTTTTCTGTGGTAGGAATATATCTTTCACTGACTTAGGAATTGCAGCATGAATTGTCCTGTTTACTTGTTTATCCTAACTATACACAGAGGCATAGTAGAAATATATTGAAGACCAGCAATGTTGGAGCAGTTTTTTGGGGGTCAGTGCTGTTTAGTTTTTCATTTTCGCATGTAATAAATTCTGCAGTTTTGTTTAATTCAGTACACATATCAGAGATATTATATCATTATGTTTGATATTAAACAGTTTGCAGGAATTATGATATAGTAACTTAATCATCATAATTGTAGAAACATGGAAAAATAAATGTATTAAGGGATGACAGCAGAGTTGGATAAATACTAAATTTATTATATTAACTAGGATTTTGTTATATTCAAAATGATTATAACTAATATTTTATTTGATTTGTATATCAGTACATATTTTAAACATGACTCCTGGGTAGGTGATTTGAATATCTTATTTGATATCAAATATTGGTAACATGTAATAACAAATAGTGATTTCTAAGTTTCTGCGGTCAAAACTATTAGTAATAAAACTCTGCGGAGAGTACTGCATGAAAGGGTATCTGTTAATTCCGTTGTTTGAGCCCCCCCCACTTTTGATACATTTTAACTTCCCCTGCCCGACACCTATATTATCATTCTGTAGAATACTTTCACAACTATTTCATATGTTTTCTGTGGCATCTCACACTGCTCACTTTTTACCCATAGTGCCATATGAGTTCCCCCTTTCCACGTTTACGCTGCATATTTTAAGCTGCTGAGTGTAAGTCGATTGCAAGGTAAAGTGACATTTAGCTTTCTGCGCTAGTCTCCCTTTTAGCATGAGAGCAGGTTTCCTTCCTCCCTGTCCTAAATCTTCTTATATTTCCCAGTAAAACAATCTTACTAACACCAGACAAAGAAATTCAGAGATTTGGCTACGGCAGCAATTGAAATGCATCAAAAAGTGGCTCCTACAATACAGTTTTATTAATGACTGATCTACATTGGTTCCAGCTGTGTCCATGTGATTAGGCCTTCACCAGGCAACAATGGGTATTTCCCTATTGCTTTTATTTGATTTCCAAGAATGTGTCATCTGTTACATCAGCCCCTGCCAATATGCCCCTTGTAA